GAGATTTCTGTGTCTTCACTTTGGTTTGGAATTTATTTATTTTCCTTTTTTTATTATTATTTTTACAGATGGTGTGGTTTTGTTTTGCTTTTTTCCCGTTAAACGGCCTCAACAGATCCCGGTCCCGCTCCGCCTCTCCCGGCGCTTCTCCCCGCCGCTCGTTTTGTGCCTTTTCTCCCACCGAAACCCCGCGCCGGAGCTCGGAGGGAAGGAAACAAAAATTCGTTAAAACGAAGTAAAACGGGTAAAAACCCGAATTAAAAATCCCCCGGTTGTTGGTTTGTATTTATCCGCGGTGCGGCTGTAGGGCTTGGTTTGTTTGTTTTCTTTTTCACAGCCCCCGGCGGTTCCAGCAGCACAGAGGGCACCCAGGAGCTGGGGCATCCCCGGGCACCTTCCCGGGCCCCTTTTCGGGCTGGGGAGGAGGAGGAGGAGAAGGAGCTGCGGGTGGGGGGCTTGGGGGCTGCGGGGGCTTTGTGCGGGCCGGGGGGGCCGCATTGTTCACTCGCTGTGCACGCCCGCGCTCACACTCACACTCACACTCACACTCACACACTCACACTCACCTCGTGTCCCCCCCCGCCCCAACAACACGGAAATTTCCATGTCCCAGCTGCCTTCCCCTTTTAACCTTGGTATTAATTTAGGACGGATCTTTTTAAACAGCCCTGTAATGCATTCAGACGCTGCTGGAGGTTTATCTTTTTTTTTTTTCTTTTTTTTTCTTTTTTTTTCTTTTTTTTTCTTTTTTTCTTTTTTTTTTTTTTTTTTTTTGTACCGTGGGTTATATTTACACCCAAAACAAAATAATTACACTTTTGTTGGCGAGAGAAAGCTGGTGATTAGACTGTGGCTCTTTGCAGCAAACCCTTTCTCAGTGGTACACCAGGACAATTTTTCACGGCTGGGTGAAATCAGACGCGGGAGGTAATGAATCCTGTGAGCTATTTAAATTTACAATTTGTAACGCAGTCACTCAGAAACGCCTATGGCCCGGCGAGGAGATGCTTGCTGGGTTTGTTTAATGTTAAAACCTGCCCCGTCCCCGCTCTTAGCAGGGGAAAGGAGGGGAGCGCGGGGGAGCGGCCCCGCGGAGCAGCGCGGAGAGAAGCGGAGCCGCCGCCTCCCTCAGCGCGCCCGGGCTCGGCATCCTCGGCATCCTCGACCCCTCCGTGATCACCGCCTACAACCCCAAAAATAGTTGGGAAAATCTACGGAGTCGGCGGCGGAGCATCCGAACAGATAGATAATTAATTACAAAACACAGGGGGAATATGCAAACCGCGTATTACAAATTCTACAGGGCTTAACTGATTGGAAACAGATTATTATCTTGTTTGTCTTTTGTCTGTTTCACTTATCCCTCTGCCGTCTGTTGTGTTGTAAGTTGATACACTTTATTCTTGAAAGGGGATTTTTTTTTTCCTTTAATAATATAGTAAATTCCATCAACATCTTGTATAAGCGACGCTGCTTCTCCACGCATTACCCTGTTAAGACACAAAAGGTTTATTAGTTACATATAGGCGGTCTTGTGGGCCCTGAATTACCATCTGTTACCGTGGGGGAATGTGGCTGGGGGGAGATTCTTGGGGCTCGGGATGGCTTTTCCCCTTGGATTTATCTATTCCTCGGCTTTCAAACGAAAAAGGAGCCGGAGAAGGCGGCGGGGAGCTGGGGACGGGGTGGGGGTCCCCGGGTGGGGGTGGAGGGGACAGAGGGTGGCGGGGAGGGGACCCACGGGGGTGCGTGGGCACAAACAGAGCGCGGGTGCCGCTCCCGCAGCCAGCAGGGCAATCCATAAAACCCAGATTATCCATGGGTTATCCATGGGGTACAGCCGCACTCCGCTCTCGGTGTCGGCCCTGGCAGCCCTGCCCGGGACACGCGTGTGCCCGCGGCTCTCCAGCCCCTCGACATCCCCGCCGTGCCCGAGCGGGGCCTGCCCGGTGCTCCCGATGCCCTGACCCCGCTGCCGTGCGGGATCCTGCCCCGAAATCCTGGAGGATGCGCTGGGAGCGGGCCCTGCACGTCCAGATCATCCCGAACATCCCCGCACATCCCGAACATCCCTGTACATCCTATACATCCTGCACATCCCGCGCATCCCGCACATCCCACAAATCCTGCTCATCCCCGCACATACCCGCACATCCCGCACACCCCAAATTCCCCCGGAGCGCCCAGGGAATGCCGCAAACTTGGGCAGAGCCCGCGGGAGCGCGGCCGCGATCGGCCCCGAGTCCGGTCCCTCCTCCTCCTCCTCCTTCCCGTGCCTTCGATTTTTTGCTCGTTTCTCCTCTTTTAAACTCGCTGCAGTTTTCATTTCCTTTCTTCTCTCTTCCGTGGCTTTTTTCCTTCTTTCTTTGTTTTCTTTTCTTCCTCTTCTTCTTCCTTGCTCCCTCTCTCTGGTGCTTTTCCTTCGCCCTTCCCTTTTGGTTTCCATTCTTTTCTATTCTAGCCGTTCTTTCTGTATTTTTATATCTTTCCTCAGTTTATTTTTCCTTTTCCCTTCTTTTTCCTGCATTTTCCCCCCATCTCTTCCTTGCCTTCTTTATTTCTGTGTATTTTGTTTTCGTTCATTTATTTCTTCTTTCTTTACTTCTTTGCCTTTCTTTTTTTTTTTTCTTCCTTTTTTTCTGTGGTTTTCCTCTGCCTCTTCTTAGTTCCTTCCTTTTTCGTTTCCGTTAATTTATCTTTCCTCATTCTCTCTCTCTCTTTTCCTTTCCCTTTCTCTATCTCTTTTTTCCTGCATACATTTTCTCCTTTTCCTCCTGCGCTTTTTCTCCTTTTATTTCCCTTTTCCTTCTCTCTTATTTTTCCTCCCCGAATCTCTTCTCTCTGTGTGTATTTTCTCATTTCGATTCTCCCTCTTTCCACAAACATCCCTACACACAAAACCTGCTCCGCTTCCCGCTGATGAAGGATTTGTTGAGATTTTGACATGGGGCTTTTCTGGGTTTTCTTTTTGTTGTTTGGGGATTTTTGGGGTTTTTTTGCCATTACCTGCAGAATTTCCCAGCACCAGCAGGCTCCACAGCCACGGGTTATTTCGGGCCGGAGCAGGGAAAATATTTTTTTTAAGTATATATTTTTAATATAAAAATACAAGGATTGTGATTATAGAAAATGAAGGGGAATGGGAAGGAATGTTCGGCCTTCACCTGCCCCTCCGCTTTCCTCCTCCTCTTCCTCCTTCCCAACCCGAAACCCCCGGGGAGCGGAGGCAGAGCTGCCCCAGGATGGATTTTCCTCCCCAAACCGGCGGGGAACGGAGGCAGAGCTGCCCCGGCCCCAGACTGGATCTTCCCCCGAAACCTTCGGGGAACGGAGCAGCGCTGCCCCGGCCCCGGGATGGATTTTCCTCCCCAAACCGGCAGGGAGCGGAGGCAGAGCTGCCCCAGGATGGATTTTCCTCCCCAAACCCTCGGGGAACGGAGCATTGCTGCCCCGGCCCCAGGATGGATTTTCCTCCCCAAACCCTGGGGGAAGGGAGGCAGCGCTGCCCCGGCCCCAGGCTGGATCTTCCCCCCGAACCCCCGAGCCCCGGCCGGGCCCGGCGCTGCCCCGTCCCTGCCGCGGGGTCTCGGCTCCGCCGCACCTGGAATTAAAGAGAAATCTCAGTGTGGGAGGGGGCGCGGCCGCCGCCCCCCGGGACTGCCCGGCCCCGCTTCCCCCGCCGGGCCCGGGGACAAAGCCGGGGAGCTCGGGGGGGCCGCATACCTCCGGGGGAACTTTTCATGTGCTCCGCTGCGGGAAGGAGCCCCCGGCCCCCTCCCCATCCCCTCCCCCGCCCAAATCGATCCCCCCCTCTTCTTTCTCCCACTTGTTGCTCTTGCAGACAAAAGCTTCCCTTCCCCTTGCGCGAAACGAAATAAACCCCCCAAAACCAGGTGATGCTCTGGCCCTGAGCAACTCGGGACCCCGCAACTCCTCCCCGAGCACCCCTTGAACAGAAACGAACGCAAATGAAAATAAAAATTAAAGGAAAAAACGGCGGGCCAGCGGATTTTCGGCCTTGCCCCCCCGGCCCCCCAGCCAGGTGCGTACTCACTTCGCGGCCCAGGTACAAGCCACCCTCAACAATAGAGGCGCGTTGTTTTTTTCCCTCTGTGCCAAGCACAAGGCTGGAGCCAATTTAGATATGCTATAAATTAAGAGGTTACCATGGTTACCGCCCCACCATTGGCCGCATCCCGGGTGACGCTGCCCTCGGCGTCACCAAATCTGAATAAGGATGCGCGAATTACTAAGGCGGGGGACAAAGCTGGCGATGGGGACAGCATGAGAGTGGCGGCGCGGCGGCGGCGGAGCACAGCGAGGCACCGGGGCTGCCGGCTGCTCGGGGGGGTTCATGCAGGACCCCTCCCGCTGCCGCAGAGCCCAGCAGCAGCGCGGCCGCCGCTCCGCCGCCTCCCGGGCCGCTCCGCACGCACCCACCGAGCCCGATTTCGGGGGCTGCTCGGTGCTGTGGTTGTTGTTGTTGTTGTTATTTCTCGGGGGTGGTGTGGATTATTCTTGGGGGGGGCATCGTTTTTTCCCTGCCGTCGTCGAGGCTCCGGAGAGAAGAGGGGGAAGAACTTGACAGCCGCCCCGCTGCCCTCCCCTGAGTTTTTTGTTGTTCCTTCTTCTGTATTTTGTTAGTTTTTGTTTTCTTTCGTTCGGGTTTTATTTTCTTTTGGGGTTTTTTTTTTTATTTTTATTTTGTATTTTATTTTTATTATCCTTTATTTTAATTTATTTGATTTCTTTTCATTTAATTTCATTTAATTTTAATTTTTTTCCTGCCTTTTTCTTTCTATTTTATTTTATTTTTCCATTCTTTCCCCCCGCTTTTTTTTTTTTTTTTTTTTTTTTGTTTGGTTGGTTGGTTTTTGGGGGGGGAATTTTTTTTTGTTGTTTGGTTTTTTTGGTTTTTATTCCTTTTTTTTTTGCCGCCGCCGTGTGCCGGCGCGGGGCTGGCTTCTCCTTTTGAGCGTCTCCATCCCCCGGCGGAGGTTATGATGGTGCATTGTGCGGGCTGCGAGAGGCCCATTTTGGACCGCTTCCTGCTGAACGTCTTGGACAGGGCATGGCACATCAAATGCGTCCAGTGCTGCGAGTGCAAGTGCAACCTCACCGAGAAATGCTTCTCCAGGGAAGGGAAACTCTACTGCAAAAATGACTTTTTCAGGTGAGTCCTCACCCCCACCCCAGCGGAGGGAGAGGAGCTCAGGGAGTTTTGGGGAGCTCAGGGGGTCCCCTCCGGTCCCTCCCGGATCTCTGTGTCCGGGGAGCCCCGGGGGGACCCGGCGGCCGCTGCTGCAGCCCGAGGAGGGGGCGGCGAGGCTGCGCCCCCTCCCCATCTCCCCACACCTTTCCCCGCATCTCCGCCGCTGCCCCCGCCCGTCCCGTGGCGTGGGGTGACACCGGGCACCGGTCTGGCACTGGGGTGACACCGGGCACCGGCCTGGCACCCCCAGCTCCCCCCGCACCGCAGGCCCCGCTGGAAGCGGTGCCCAAATCCCCCTCCCCGGGGATCCCGCACCTTAAACGCCCCTAATGAGCGCGATAAGGCCGGGAGGGAATTCGGGGCCGGCGAGGCAAAGGGGGGGCCGTGACTTATGGCTCCTAATGCTGGCACTACATCAACGTCACGGCCGGCAGCGACACGGGCACCGCTGGGGCCGCGGCCCGAGGGGAACAGGGGGCCCTGCGTGGGCACCCCGGGCCTGGCAGCCCCCGGGGACAGCCCCTGCTCCCCTTTCTGCCGGCAGAATTTTTGTTTCTGTGAGGTTTTTTTGTTTTCGTGTTTGATTTTAATTTTTGTTTGTTTGTTTTTTTTCATTTTCCTTGTATCATTATCCTTTTTGTTTGTTCGGTTGGTTTGGGGGGCTTTGTTGGAATTATTTAGTTGTTTTATTTTGTTGTGGGTTTTATGTTTTGTTCTTGTTGCTTTTTATTATTATTATTTTTTGGTGGGGATTTGGGTTTTGTTTTGTGGGGTTTGTGGCAGGTTTTGGTTGTTTGGTTTTGTCTCTTTTTTTTCTTTTCTTTTCTTCTTTTTTTATCTTTTTTTCTTTCCCTTGGGATTCGGATTTCCTGGATTTTTCTTTTAATTTTAAAAAAATCTCCTAGGGAAAAAAAAAAAAAAAAAAACCAACAAAATCACACCTAAACCCAGGCTCGCTCTGGGAAGGAAAGGAAAACCGGAGATTTACAAAGCATTCTTCCCGACCTGAAAAAACTCCCTCTCGGGTTGGGGAGCGGATGGGGATTTGGGGCCATGGGACGCTTTGGGGAGCGCAGCTCCCTCCTCCGCTGCCCGTTGTTCTGATCCCCGCACCCGCCGCTCCTTTTCCCGTCTCTCCGGCCGTGATCAGCCCCATTTTCGGGGATTTTCAGGCCGGATCCCCGGTAGGCACCGGCTGAAACGAAATCCTGCCCCGCAGAGTGCGGGGGGACCCCCGGCCCTTCTCCCCTCCCGCCCGTCCCTTCTGGGGCCAAACCCGTGCGAGGATGTTCGTGCGTGTCCCCCGAGCGTGGGGACACCCCAAACCCGCGCTGTGCCCGCAGCCCGGCCCCAGGGCTGGCGGGGATGAAGGCTCTCCTCATCCTCGCCCCGCAGGTGCGGTTCGCCCGTTCCCCCAAATCTTCCATGGGGACAATGGAGGAGATTCCCCCGGTGCTGGAGGAGCGGGGCTCCCGCGGGGGTTTGGGGAGGGGGGCTCGGTGCAGAGCACACACGCAGCCCCCGCCGCAGCCCGTCCTGCCCGCGGCTCCAGCTCCTCTCGCTTCTCTCCCCTTCCCAGGAGGTTTGGTACCAAATGCGCCGGCTGCTCCCAAGGGATCTCTCCCAGCGACCTCGTCCGGAAAGCCCGGAATAAAGTGTTCCACCTGAACTGTTTCACCTGCATGGTGTGCAACAAGCAGCTCTCCACGGGCGAGGAACTCTATATCATCGACGAGAACAAATTTGTTTGCAAAGAGGATTATTTGAACTCTCCCAGTTTGAAGGAAGGCAGCCTCAACTCAGGTACGAGCGGCTCAGCCCGCCCAGCGCTCCGTTCTCGCCGCCGGGCAGGAGGTTTGGATGTGTGGGGTGAGGGGTCGGCACGACCCCCGGTAATCCCGGTACCGGCAGCAGGGGCAGCGCCGAGAGCGCCGGGCACAAGCCCCGAGTGCCCGTTCCTCCCGGTGGAGGCGCCCCCAGGCCGGGCAGGACGTTCGGATTGGGCTCTCTACATTTGTGGGGCGAGGGGCTGCACCCCGCAGCCCATCGGGGAGGGAGCGATGCGGGTGAAAGGCTCGGAGCGGGTGGAACCCTCGGTGACGCCCCCGTGGGACGCGGACACGCGTGGGGCGCGCTCCCCGCCCCAGCCGCGGCTCTGCCGATCCAGCGGGGCTGCGGGGCGGGGGGAGCCGCGATCCCCCCCCCCCGAGGGCTGCCTCGGGAGCCCCCCACTCACTCCCTCCCTCCCCAGAGCCCCCCTGAGAATGTGCCCGCTCCCCCCGCGCCGCGGGCCTGATGCTTCGCCTCCTTTCACCCAGAGGCAAAGCTCCCATTTGACTTCCTTGGAAGCTGTCTCTGCGTCAGGAGAGCAGGGCCAGGCCCCCTCCTGCTGTCCCAGCCATGCCGGGCGCCCCTGCTCACCCCCTTCCGTGGGCTCTCTCTCCGTCCAGCACCCGGGGCCGGATCCTGCCACGCCAGTCAGTGGGGCCGCTGCTGTGAGCGAGGCGAGTAGAGCTTGGCCTTGGGGGGTGCTGGCTGAGGGTCCCCGGGGGGAACACGGGGCCTGGGGGCGGGGGGGTGAGCCAGGCTGGACACAGAGACCCGGGGGGCGCCCCGAACCCCCACAGGGCCCGGCTGCGTTTTTCCCGGCACGGGGATAGAGGGGCAGCGCGGGCATGGGGGGCACCCCCTGCCCAGCTCCCCCCGCAGAGCTGCAGCGGTGCCCGGTGGTGTTGGGGGGCGATGCTTTAGGGGGGCAGAGGCTGTCTGCACCCCTTGTGCCCTCCAGCACCCCCCAACCCCTCTCCGGGCAAGCAGAGGGGGACAGGAGAGGGGGGTCAATGTCTCCCCGAAGTCATCCACCCCCCCTTTCCTCTCTGGGTCTCCTTTACAGTGTCCTCATGTACAGACAGGAGTTTGTCCCCGGATCTCCAGGACCCCATGCAGGACGACACCAAGGAAACGGACAACTCGACCTCGTCGGACAAGGAGACCACCAACAACGAGAATGAGGAGCAGAACTCGGGCACCAAGCGGAGGGGGCCCCGCACCACCATTAAAGCCAAGCAGCTGGAGACCCTCAAAGCCGCCTTCGCCGCCACCCCCAAACCCACCCGCCACATCCGGGAGCAGCTGGCCCAGGAGACCGGCCTCAACATGAGAGTGATCCAGGTGGGACAGACAGACCGACGGGGGGGGTCCCGGGGGGGGGCACAGGGGGTCCCGGGGGGAGCCCGGACGGTTCCAGAGTGAGAACGGGCCAACCCCATTTGTGACAGTGGGAACGGGCCAACCCCATTTGTCCCTTCCAGCGCCACCTCAAACCCACCCTGCAGCCCCCCCACTCTCTCGTGGGTGAGCGGGGATCCCCCAGCCGTGGGAAGGGATGAAACACGAGGTGTTTCATTCCCGAAAAGCGGGGCCGAGCAGGATCCCCGGCGCGCCGGGAGATGGATGCTCCAGCTTTGCATCCACCGCGCTCTGCAGGCAGCCCGCACTTCCTCACCGCGCTGCCCCCGTGAAGAAAATCCCTGCGGAAATGTAGGGATTAATGGGCTTTAATAGAGGCATTAATAGGGGAGGACTCTCCGGCTTTGCCGGCAGCGGAGCTGCGATTCCCGGCTCCCGGCAGAGCGGAGCACGAGTCCCGCGGGAGCGCGCTGTGCCCGTCCCCCCGCGCTGCCCCGTCCCCGGGGGAGTCCGACAATAATCCAGGCGCCCCACCAGGCTGCTGAGGCGAGCGGTTCCGGAGCAGCAATGCCCGTGGAGAGGCGGCCACATCTCGCCTTCCCTTTTATTCCCATCCTCACCGCGGGCTGTTCTGAATCCCTGCCTGCTGCCGCAGGTGCTCATCTCCCTGCTCCCGCTTTCCGCCTGCTCCTGCCACGATCCAGATCCCCTTTTTTCCTTCCCACGATTCCTCCCTTCTTTCCCTTACACATGGGGGAAATTTCCCCCTCCTGCATTTTCCAGCTGCAGGGACAGGGAGGCTGAGGGTGTGCAGCTGCGGGAAGGAAGAGCCGGATTTTAAATAACCTGGTTGTTAGGAGTGTCCCCATGTACTTTTTGAGCAGCAGCAGGAAAGGGGGTCGGTGCTGATTAAAAAAAAAAAAAAAAAAAACAAACAAATAGATATTGGAAAAGCCGTGTGGGTGCAAGATGGTGACCCAGAGGGGTCCCTGCTCGCCCACCCGCGCTGGGCACTGACCGCAGCCGGGCCTCAGGTGTGGTTCCAGAACCGTCGGTCCAAGGAGCGGCGGATGAAGCAGCTGAGCGCGCTGGGCGCCCGCCGGCACGCGTTCTTCCGCAGCCCCCGCAGGATGCGGCCCCTCGGCGGCCGCCTCGACGAGTCCGAGATGCTCGGCTCCACGCCCTACACCTACTACGGAGGTGAGGGACCGTCCCTGCCCTGTCCCCTCCTGTCCTTTGTTCCTCCCATCCCGTTCCCCCCTCTCACACGCGTGCCCGGCCCCACGCACCCCCACGCCCCCCCGGCATTGCGGGGCCCCTCTCCCGCGAACAAAGCCCCAGCTGCGGGGCTTTTGTCCCCCTTTCAGGCCGCATTTGCTGCAATTACCTCGCGGGCCCGCAGCATATGGAGGGTCAGTGCGGGCCGGCCGCCCCCGCTGCCCCGGCGGCCCCGCAGAGCCCCCCTAAAATCTGCGCTTTCAAAGCCTCCGATCTGACCCGCGGCTTTCCAGGCACCCCTTGTTGCCCTGCAGTTAGTGTCCAGATCCCTTCCAAGCTGCTTAAACACATATATTAATTCCACATTTTATATATTTTTTAATGTATTTTTCCTAATATATATATATTAATGTATTTTTTCCTATTATATATATATTAATGTATTTTTTCCTATTATATATAATTTCCCCAAGATACATATATATATTCCCATTATATACATTTTCCCCGTTTTATATTTATTTTTGCTCATTCTGTTTATATCTATATTTTCCACATCCCCCTTTTTATATACATATATATAAATATATGCACGTTATTTTTTCCCCATTAATTAAGCACTAAACTGAGCCCATTTTCTCGGCCCCTTTCACCTCTCCCAGCCCGAATTCGCTGCTCTCCCTCACTCCAAAGAGAGGGTAAAGGAGAGGATGGGCAAAGACAGGATGATGGGCACAGCAGCTCTTAGCATGGGCTCATTCCTCTCAGGTTGGATTTAAATCCCACCCGCCCTTGGGGTCTCCGTTTGGGAGCCAGCAGAGCGTTTCGGAGGGGACAGCACGGGGCTGGTTTGGGGCGCAGCGGGATTTTGGGAGGTTTTTAGCCACAGGAGATCAAATTCATCCCTTTTCCCCCCTCCCCACAGATTACCAAGGTGACTACTACGGGCCGGGAGGCAACTATGACTTTTTCCCCCACGGGCCGCCCTCCCAAGCCCAGTCCCCGGCCGACTCCAGCTACCTTCAGAACTCAGGACCCGGCTCCACACCCCTGGGACCCTTGGAGCCCCCCCTAAGCGGACACCACTCCTCAGAAAACCAAAGGTACACGGATATGATCTCGCACCCCGACACCCCCAGCCCCGAGCCGGGCATGACGGGCTCGCTGCACCCCATTCCTGGCGAGGTCTTCAGCGGGGGGCCCAGCCCGCCCTTCTCCATGTCCAGCAATAGCGGCTACAGCGGGGCTCTGTCGCACCCCAACCCGGAGCTCAGCGAGGCGGCGGTGTGGTAGGCCCGGCCCGGGCACGCGTGTGCGTGTGTGCAGGGGGAAAAGCCCCCCTGGTCCCCCCGGCCCACGCGTGTCCCCTCCTCGCCCGCAGCAGCGGCTCCCCCGCCGATGCCCGAGCGCATCGCGGCATCTCCGCCCGCCCTCCCCATCCCGCACCCCGGGAGCTTGGGGCCACCCCGCTACCTCCCCCCTCCCGGCAGCTGCCCCCCGAGGCTTTTCGGGGGGCGGTGAGGGGTGCCCAGCCCTGCAGAGCCCGCCGGAGCCGGCCCAGCGCCTCTCGGACCAAAGCTGAACTCGCCTGGACACGGGTCCCGCACCGGGGGAGGGGCTGCGGCAGGGCTGCCCCTGCTCATTAGCGTCCTTTTTAATTATCCCCTACCACAGGAAAGGGGGGGAATGGGGAATAGCAGGAATAACCCCCCCGTGGCCCCTCCCTGGCCTCGTTTTTATTGTTCCCGTTTCACCCCCGAGGGGAAGGTGGGTTTGGAGCCGGATTTTGGAGCGGTGGGGACGATGGGGCTGAGCGGGGCCAGGCCCCAGTGACTGGCTGAGATTGGGCTCCCACGTGGTGGAACAGACACCAGAAACAGGAAAAAACACAACAACAACAAAATAAAACCCCAAACAAAACAATAAACCCCCGAACTAAACCAAGCCAAGCACAGCAGCAGAAATTTCACCCGAGCCTCGACGCCGAGTCCCGCCCCAACGATTCCCAGAGGCTCCGCCAATTTAAGGATGTATTATAGTTTTTGCTTCTAGTTTCTTTATTTTGTATAAAGGAGAAACAAATAAAGTATGTTTTTGTGTTTACTGATTATTTATTGTACTTTAGTCATCGGAGGCTCCGAATTTTTTCTATTTTGAAGGCAGGGAGGGGATGGCGCCGGGGAGGGGGGTGAGAGCATAGAGAGAGGGGGGGAATAAAAGGAAGGAGAATGGAAAGGGAAAGAAAAAAAAAAAAGTTGTTTTCTGAAAGCGTCGTGGGTTTCCTGTCCCCGCTGCCTCTTGCGGAGGCTGTTAGTGTGAATGGCTCTTGTTGTTCGATGTGAATAAAAAACCTTTTAGTTACCTACTGTTCGGTCACCTGGTCCCTTTCATTTTACTTTATTTGGATTTGTTTTAACGCAAGCCCGCGCGGAACGCTGGCCGGGCTCCCCCAGCGCTGCCCTGGGTGAGGGATGTGCACCTGCACAAGGTGATGCTGCTGCATCCCCATCCCTCCCCAGTTCCCCCCAGTCCCACAGCTCCCCGGCACTGGGAAGGGGCACATTACACCTTTCCCACAGCAGACAGCCCAATGCACAATTTCCTTCTCCCGAGGGGCACCCAAAACCCTCCCAGAGCAGCCCCAAGGGGGAACACCCCAAGTGTGGGTTCAGCAGTGCCAGCAGCAGCTTTTGCCCCATTTTCCCTGTGGGATCTCCTCTCCAGCACCCCGGTTCGCTCCCCTTCTCTCCTGCTTTCAATCCCTCAAGATATAAAAATAAAAAGTCCCAGGCAGGCTGCAGCTCTGAACTAATATTTAAAATGCAAAATCATGGCAGAGTTTTTCACCCCCCCCCATCAGCCCCCCCTGCTCCTTGTCTTGCAGTAAAACGATATAAACAGAATAAATTACCTTCCCTTGCTGGCTTACCAGAGTCCCTCTCTCCTGACCTGAATTTTAAGTCCTGGCTCGGTTGTAGCAGGGAGCAGCGATGATTTATGGAAAGCCAGCCACAGCTCTGCATATTTTCTCTGTTCAGCCAAGTGCTGGAATTTATCCTTCCTGTGCCATTACTGGCATTAATAACGGGGTGGCCAAAGAGCCACACCGAGCCCCCTCAGCCAGGAGCTGGGGCCAGCACAGACATTGGGGTTCCCTCACCCCCATCCCCAGGAAAAACACCTCCTTCCTTTTCCCAAACGGGGAAACTGAGGCAGGAGCACAGCTGGCTGCTCCAGCACTCCCAGGCTGTCAGTGCTGGCAGGCAATGGGGAATTTTCATAAGGGCAGGGTGATGTGTTGGTAAATAACCCACTCACAGCATCATTTTGAGGAGTATAAAATGATCAATCACTGGGTGAACACTGGATATTATTACTATTATTATTATTATTTTATTATGAATTCAGAATTCAAGGCATAGGGCTGAGGGCTGTTTTTAGGCTGCTGGGACACCCCATCTGTGAGACCTGGACAGAAGAGGCTGCAGGAGGGATGGGGGTGATGCTCCGAGCTCCCAGAGGATGGGACTCGGCAGGAGCAGCCATCCAAGCAGGGAAGATCCCAAGGAACAATCCCCGGCACAGAGCAGCTCTGCAGCTCCGAGCTGGGTGCAGGAGCCCAGCCCGGGGTCCCATCACCCCAGAGGTGCCAGGAAGGCGGCAGCACCCAGGATTCCTGCCTGTGCCCAGCTGCAGAGTGACAGAGCTCACCCTTAGGGGTGTCCCAGGCACATCCAAACCCCTCAGCTGGCTCCCAGATGAAGGCAAGGAGAGGGAAATCTCCTTGCTGGGTCACCCCAAACCCCCCATTCTGCCTGTACCTACCCCAGCAATGACCCCTCTGTGCTGAGGAATCACCATGGGGAGCTCCTGACTCCCCTGACCCCCCTCACCAAGCAAAATAATGAGAATAAATTCCTTCTAAAAGCTATTCCATTTTGTTTTCTTTCTCTTTTCCTGACCTTCTTGCCTTTTTTTTTTTTTTTTTTTTTGGGGGGGGGAAGGGGGAAGGTCTGCAGAAGGTGGAAAGTAATCAGGTTTTGGACCCGGGATAAAAAATAGCCCGAGTAGGTTGGGCTGACTCCCTATAATTAATAGTGTGCCTCGTAATAGGATTCTCCAGCCTTCGGTGCTCCCTGGAAACACCTTTTTACATAAGGTATTGCTCAGGATGGAGTGGCAGAGCTGTGATTTATGGGGGTTTGGCCTCCACCCAGCACCTGGGAAGGTGCAGGGCAAGGGGCTGAGGCAGGGAGGGGCTTCAGGTCAGGATTTGTGGGGGATGTGGGCGAGCTGCTCCTGGGGCTGGCACCCTCCTGCTGCAAAGGGAGGAGGATGAGAGGGGTTGGGGGCAGCAAAATGCTTTTCTCTCTGCCCAAAGCACAGGGCACAGGGGAACCGGAGAGCAGGGGAGCACCAGCAGGAGCAAAATCACTCAGAATGGGAGGAAGGAAAGGGGAGATGTGTTGAGAGGACACAAAAAGAACCCCAGGAGGCGCCACAGCAAAGGCGCAAATGCAAACACAGCGCTACAGAGAGAATCCCCTTCTCTCTTTCCCGGGGGAAAGGGAGAACGGATAAAAGAGTGAGATGGGGGAAAAAAGGGGGATCTTAGGGGGTCTAGGATGGGGTATATCCCTTCCGCATGTCAGAGCGCCTGGGAGCCCGCGGGTGTTAAACCCGGCCGGGGATTCCCGTGGATAAATCACCCTAACAAGAGCGCTGTTCTCGCCTGGCCACAGCCAACGTGGCAGGAACGGGAGAGGATTGTAATAATTAATAATCATTACAATAATAATGCATAAAGACAGTAGCACAGTAATTAGTCAGAGAGGGAGCGTTTGCTAATTGAGGAGGGGAGCTGCAGCCTGGGGAGGGAGGAGAAAGGGACACAGGGGAATACCTGGCACGTCCCAGGGGAAAAATGGGACGTGTGGGGTGCTCCAGTCCCCCCTCAGCACAGGCACCACCCCCGTGCCTCAGTTTCCCCCTTCCTGCATGAGCGCCGCTTGCTGCAAAAAGCTGCATGAGGAGCCCCGCGTCCCCAGGCTTTATTTCTGTTCTTTGGGAAGGAAAGCGAGCCGGGCGCTCCAGGCGGGCTCTGCCCGGTGTCAGTGCAGCCCCAGCTGGCTCTGCAGGGCCCGCAGCCGGCCCGTGTGGATGTTGCTGCCGCCGCACACCACGAGCAGCACGGGGCGCAGCGGGCTCGGCAGCCGCCCCTCGCTCTGCAGCCGCTGCAGCCGCCCCGAGTACAGCACGGCCAGGGGGGCTCCGCACGCCGGCTCCACCAGCGCCCGCTCCTCGTCTGCGGGGACACAGCGGGACATGGGGCACACAGCGAGGGACAGCTCGCCCGGCACACGGCGGCCCCAGCGCCCGGCGGTGTCCCTGTCACCCTGACCCCGGCAGTGTCCCTGTCACCCGGACCCTGGCAGTGACCCTGTCACCCCAACCCCAGTTGTGTCCCTGTCACCCTGATCCAGTGTCCGGCGGTGTCCCTGTCACCCCAACCCCAACCCCCAGCAGTGTCCCTGTCACCCTCACCCCAGCGCCCGGTGATGTCCCCGTCACCCTGACCCCAGTGTCCCCAGTGCCCGGCAGTGTCCCTGTCACCCTGACCCCAACTCCGGCGCTGTCCCTGTCACTCCCGACCCCGGTGGTGTCCCTGTCACCCTCACCCCAGTGCCCAGAGGTGTCCTTGTCACCCTGACCCCGGCTGTATCCCTGTCACCCCGAATCCAGCACCCCCAGGCTCCGGCAGTGTCCCTGTCACCCTGGCCCCGGTGCTGTCCCTGTCACCCGGCTCACCCAGGAACTGCTGCACAGCCCTCACGGCCTCCTCGTCCTGCACCACCTGCGAGATCACCTGGCACTCCCGGGCACATTCCAGCGCTCGCGCCGCCACCGTCTTGGCTCCCAGGCAGGTGGCCACGCTGGGACACAGGGACAATGCGGTCAGGGCGAGGACACCGCCGAGCCCTGCCAGCTCCCTGCGCGCCCGGCTGCTCACCTGGTGATGTCGGGCAGGGTGACGAGCCGGCCGGCCTTGAGCGCCTCGTGGAAGCTGTGAGCGCCCAGCGTCTCGGCGGCGATGACGGGGACATCCTGCCAGCCCACCTGCTGCAGGCCGGCCACCACCCCGGCCAGCAGCCCCCCGCCACCCACCGCCACCACGATGGCGCCTGGCTTGTCCTCCAGAGAGTCCTTCAGCTCCCGGACCAGGCTGGCGTGACCCTCCCTGCAGGGGCAGGGACGGGAGGATGCAGCCCGGGGGCTCCCCTGGGTCCCGGGATGGGGACAGGAGCTGGGGATGCAGCCCGGGGGCTCCCCTGGGTCCCGGGATGGGGACAGGAGCTGAGGATGCATCCCAGGGACTCCCCGGGGATGGGGACAGGAGCTGGGGATGCAGCCTGGGGACTCCCCGGGGATGGGGACAGGGACAGGAGCTGAAGATGCAGCCCGGGGGTTCCCCTGGGTCCCGGGGATGGGGACAGGAGCTGAGGATGCAGCCCGGGGGCTCCCCGGGGATGGGGACAGGAGCTGAGGATGCAGCCCAGGGGCTCCCCTGGGTCCTGGGAATGGGGACAGGGACAGGAGCTGAGCCCTGGCAGCACTCACCACACCAAGGGGTGGTCGAAGGGGGGGATGATGACCCAGCCCTCTGTCTTAGCCAGCTCCTGGGCTCTGCTGTTGGCATCATCCCACACCTGGTGAGGGCAAGGGGGGCTCAGCTGGGCTCCACAGAGCCCTCACAACCCCGGGATGGGCCCCTTGTCCCTGCGGGGCTGGGGGACACCAGAACGGGTGAGGGCTCCCAGGGTGACCCTGCTGCGATGCTGGGGATGCAGGGGGGGGGCATTTCGGGATGGGGTTCGCACCAATGAGCAGCTGAGCTCAGGCTCAGCCCTCTCTGGACCCCCCCAGACCCCGTTTTTGGGGGTACCTTGCCGTAGACCTCGACGGTGGCGCCCAGTTCCTGCAGCTTGCGCACGGCGGTGGGGCCACTGCTGCTGGGCACCACCACGGTGATGGGCATGGCCAGCTCCCGCGCCGCCAACGCCGCCGCCAGCCCCGCGTTCCCTCCTGCCCAAAGGGAGGGGACTCAGCCGCGGCTCGGCCCCCCCGGACATCCCCACATCCCCCAGGAGCGTCCCCAGCTCGGGGCGGCGTTACCTGAGGAGCAGACGAAGTGGCGGCAGCCCTTCCTGGCAGCCTGAAAGGAGCAGACAAACAGGGGAGGGGGCGGCTGTGTGCCCGCACTGTGCCCCCCGCGAGGGCAGCAGCACCCCCCGCACACCCCGTGCCCACACTCACAGCCTGGCACAGGTGCCCGATGCCCCGGATCTTGAAGGATCCCGAGGGCTGGACGTTCTCCATCTTCATGAAGACCTTGGTGCCCGCGGCCTTGGAGAGGGACAGGCTCTCCAGGACGGGTGTGACGATGTGGAAGGGCTTCTGGGGCTTCTGGCCCCCGGCCGGCTGGGCTGCCATGGCCTGGCGGGGGATGTCCTGCCAGGGACAGGCGGTGGAGTCACCAGCTGCTCCGATAAGGACAGGGCTGTCCCCAGTGTCCCCTCCCGTCTCTAGGATGCAACAGCTCTCCCTGAAGGATCCCAGCACAGGCTGTGCCACCCCCTCCTGCACCCTGGCGGTGTCCCCAGCCCCGGTGTCCCCAGGTGCACAGCTTGGCCTGTCCCCAGGCTGGGGTTACCTGCTGTCCCATGGGCTGTCCCCAGGCTGGGGTTACCTGCTGTCCCAGGGGATGTCCCCAGGCTGGGGTTACCTGCTGTCCCGGGAGATGTCCCTGCTTGTCCTCACCCACACACAGAGGGACAGGTGACGTCTGAGGGGCCGTGCCGGTGTCCCCGGGTCGCCGTGCTCAGTCAGGCAGGGGGCAGAGCCCGGACATTGCCCTGGTGTTCGCTGTTTGCTCAGCCCTGGGCGGGTTTTACAGCCGGTGACCCGCGGGGACAAACACGTGTGGCCCTGCCAGCTCTCACATGCCCCGGGACGGGATGTGGGCTCCCAGGAGATGGGGGAAGAGGAGAGGCAGCTCACAAATGAGTTTGGGGGCCCTCAAGGGTTTGCACTGGGTATTATCTGATCTGGACTAAAACACGTACCAGCAGACTTTAGGATTTTTGCCCTGGTGTAGCCAGGGCAGCCTGCACACCCCAAACTCCAGCCAAAACAGCTCTGATTGCCTCCAAACAGCCATCACACCCCTCTGCTCACCCTGCCAAGCCCCACCCCATGGCAGCCCTTCAATCCTCTCCCAGGTTCCCATCTCCAGCTGGGTGAGACCCCCGGGATGAGCCCCCTGCCCCAGCTGGCCATGTGGGCACCCCAGGGGCAAAGATCCCTTGGGGAGGGGCTGTCCCGAGTGACCCAGGCAGGGCTGGCCCAGACCCAAGGCCCAGCAGCCCCCAGGCAGAGCATGCAGAGCCCCCTCCCTCCCTCTGGGACCCCTCCTTGTCACCCAGCCCCGGTAAAAGTCCTACCTCTGCTCGGAGGGGCTGGTTCTGTGCACAGCAGGCAGGGAGGAGGAGGAGGGTGGGATCTGGAGGAAGCGCCAGGCCTGGCCCGCAGCCCCGCAGCCGCAGGAGGCTCCTCTGCTGTTCTTGGCAAGCTGGAGTGGCCTGGAAGCAGAGGGCACAAGGAGTCCTGAGGGAGGGACACTGAACTGGCACCAACACAGGCCAAACTGGGAGCGCTGGGAACCCCACACTGTGCCAGCTTTGCCCCAGTGCCAGGGACACTGCACTGGGACAAACACAGGCCAAACTGGGAGCACTGGGAGCCCCACAGCGTGCCCAGGTCTGCACACAGCAGTGAAAACACAATATGGGATTTCAGTGCCCTGACCCAAACTGGGCTGCAAACCTCCCCAGAGCAGCAGCGCTGGCAGGCAGAGAGCAGGGACAGAGCTCTGGGGCTGCCCTGCTCCTCATGGGGCTGAGCTTTGGGGCCAACAGAACATCCCTGGGCTCCTGAGAGCAGCACAGAGCACAGCACTGCCCCTCTGCAGGGCCGCACTGCTTTTGGGACACAGGGGCCTGGAAAGGGGAGCAATGAGGGCGATTTCCTGAATGAGGGCATGGGGGGGACACAGCTCCAGCTCCTCTGGAGCCCTTGGAGTGACCCCCTCACCTCATGCAGGCACTCCCATGAGGGTGGGACAGCAGCAGGAGCCTGTCCCAGCTCACAGGGGTGAGGCTGGAGACCCCCTTGGGAGGACACCCCACACCCCAGCTCAGCCCCGGGTGCTCCAGGGTCCCTTTGCACCCCACAGCCACCTCCCCGTGCCTGTCCTGCTCCCCTTGGCTCCATCCCTGCCATGAGGAGGGCATGCCAGGCTGTCACCTGCTCATTTCCCTTGGCCAGCGTCCCGGCTGACACTCTGGCAGCAGCTGGGATAGTTTGTAACAACTTTTTGTTTGTTTTTCCATGTTTAAGGAAACAAAGAAAGGGAATCAGCAACACTGTCGCATTTCCAACACGCCCTGTTCCTCCTTGCTGCTCACCTCCCAGGTGGTGATCTGTCTGGGGAAACTGAGGCACGGGGAGCCCAAAAGCAGCCCCCCCCACCATGGGGACACGAGGGGACACAGGCTTACCTGCAATCTGTCCCAGCACAGCAGGGTACAGACACCCACCTTCCCCAGGGCACCCATGCCAGTTTTTGGGTTGCCAGCACCCCAACAGCCCAGAGCTGCTCCCTCCCACCCCCCTGCAGCCTCCAGGGCCCCCAGCCCCGGTGGGAACCCGGTGCCTTCAAAGCTCTGCCGAGGCACAGCTCATTAATCCCCCAGTAATGACCTCGTTATTCCTAACGAGCCAGAGCGGATCAAGGGAGCTGCCTAAGAGGATTTTGCAGCTTTTGGGGACGGGGCACACAGGTGCCAGAGGAGAGGAACACAAAAGGCAGGATGAGGATGGTCTGCCACTCCTGGGGGTGAGAGTGGGGCTCCCCCATCCCACAGCAGAGAACTCTGCACCCCAAAAGTCTCACTGGGCACAGGCCCTCCCACCAGCAGAGGAGATCACCCTGTTAATGGGGAGAGGGCAAGACCCCTGAGTGAGCCCAGCCCTAACAAAGCCACCAGAGAGCCTCAGCAGAGGGCAAAGCACAGCCACCAGCACAGAGCACTTTATTATTTACCACAGCCAAACCAGCTCACTGCCCTCCTGTCCACGCTAGGGGCGAGCCCCAGCCTCCCAGAGGATGCCCCTTTTCCAGGGAGAGCCCCCCAAACCAGGCATCAGCACCCAGGGAAGAGCCTGGAGAGCCCCACAGCAGGGAGGGGACACGCTGGGCTTGTGCAGCACAGCCAGGACCCCCAGAGGCAGAAAGAACAGGGGGGGACCCTGTTACACAGAGGTGAGAGCCCCCAGACCCACAGAGGGATCCCCCACAGGACAGACAGATGGACGGGACCAGCGCCTGCTCAGTCCCAGTGGACCTTGACTGGGGGGAAGGTCCAGAGGTCGGGGTGGCCCATGTGCAGCAGGGAGCTGCACGGGGACGCGCTCCAGCGGAAGGGTGGCACGTCATCCCACGCGGGGCCGCTGACTGCCACCAGCCCGAAGGAGGGCACCATGCCCGAGGAGGTGACCTGCAGAGGGGACACGGAGCAGGGCAGCGAGTCAGCACTGGGCACAGGCTGCACAGCCCCAGAGGAGCCCCTGTGGGGCGGGCAGGGCTGCCTGGCTGGCACACCTTCATGTCGATGCCGCCGTGGCAGCGCTGGCGCAGGGCGGGGAAGGGGTAGGTGCCGTTGGCAGGGTTGAGGTCGGAGCGGGCAGAGATGGCGTTCTCGGCGTTCTGGGGCGGGTCACAGCCCCTGCACCGCGACAGGGGGTCCTGCAGGTAGTTGTTGGACCTGCAGAGGGAGGGGACAGAGCCCAGTGAAGACAGAGAAAAAGCCCACAGAGCACAGAAAATCCCTTGGTGGAAGTTCCTCAGGGAATTCCAGGTCTCCCGGCACACACCGCATCAGGCGGATCATGGAGTCCAGGTCGTGGACCTGTGTCTGGTTCCGGCGGAAGATCTGGGCACGAGGGTTCTTGTCATAGGTGAACCAGTCACCGTATTTCCTCACCAGCTCAAGGTTCCCACTGGTGTTGAAGATCTGCTCAAAGTACCTGGGGAGGGGGAACCCAGCAAGCTGGCACCAAGGGGGGGTAAGGTGGGCATGGCTGCCCTTCTTTCCAGGGCAAGCCACAGGGAGGGATGGCACTCACGGCACGTTGTAGCTGGCCCAGTAGCCCTGCTGGTACAGCAGCTTTGTCTGGTCAGCCACCACCACCAGGCCCCTGTGCTGGGAGAAAGAGCATTGGTCAGAGCAGAGGGGGAAAAGTCACTGGGGATGGGGGGGGCATGCTGGGGTGGGGGGAACACACGCTGGGGGTCCCCACCCCAGCCAGAGGTGCTGGGCACCCATCACCTCAGTACCAGCACCCCAGAGCCTTTAGCCACAGACAGCCCTATTGCCCTGTGACCACCCACTGGGCTGGGCAGGCACCACCCTCAGGGCTTTCCCAAACCCACAGGGATGAGAGAGGAGACAGCAGGGCTCAGGGAGGAATGGAGCCACTCACGGGATCTGCTCCAGCACGGTCAGCACGCCTGGCGGCGGGCTTGCACTGCCCGGTGTGAAGGTATTGTAGTCCACCACCATCCACTGGTTGTTGTACCTGGCATGGAGAGCAAGGAATGCATCCCTCTGGCAGCCTGGGCACCCTCCATCCCATCCCACTGATGCCTTCAGTTTTAGCTTTTCTATGTTTCAGATTCTGTGCTGCTTTAGTGTGTAGTTCTGACCTTCATATCAGGGGATGGTGAGCTCTCTTCATAGAGCAGGGAGACAAAGCAATTCCTTCTCTATCTAGGGACCAAGGACAAATGATCCAAATCTCAGGCCCAAGAACATAAACAATGGTGGACTGAAGAGGGAAAAACAAGGAGGATTGGACTTCATAACCTAAAGCTGTAAGTGGATAATTAATTCCAATGTGCAAATGGAGCAGAACTGATCAAAGTAAGAGACCTCGTGCCCGGTCGTGCATTTTGTGACCATTTTGGTTCATCCTGGGTGCAGCCCTGCTTGGGCTCTTGTGCTGCCCAACATGCATCCATTGAGGCTTTTAATAAATCCCTGCTTTATTCTTTACCCCTGTTGTAGATCAGCCTTCCCAAGGCCCCACCATCCCCACTCCCAGCCCACTCACGTGCCGCTGTTGAAGCGCCGGAACAGCGCGGCCCACTCGGGCCCGCTGCGGGCCAGCCTGTTGGCCACGATGTTCCTCAGCCACTCCAGCACGCTGCCCCGGGGCTCCAGGTACTTCCACAGGGCCGGGTTGTTGTTGCCAATGGTGGTTTCCAGCGTGACCTGCAGGGCAGGGAGCGATGGGGAGGGCAGCAGGGCCGGGGAGAGGCGCAGGAGGAGCAGCCCCACTCACCAATCCGCTGCTGAGGATGTAGAAGTCATCCATGGAGAAGATGGTGCCGGGGTAGGAGGAGAACACCTGGACGCTCCCAGGGATCTGGGATTTGCCTGCAGGGGGGATGCAGAGTGTCAGAGGGGGGCTGTGAGGCGCAGCCCCCCCAGCCCAGCCCAGCCCACGCACCGCCGGCCGAGGCGCGGAAGGGCAGCGTGTACTTCTTGATGACGCGCAGCATGGCCTGGTAGGAGCTCCAGGTGTCGTGGGCCACCAGCAGGTCCCGCTGGCCCGGCAGCAGCTTCACCAGGGCCGAGCAGGAGCCCGAGCCCAGCACACGCTGAGGGGAAGAGCGGTTCAGGGCAGACTCCAGGTCCTCCAGGTCACCCCCCAGCTGCAGCAGCCTGGGGGGAAGCAAGGTGTAAGATGTCAGGTGAGGGGTGCCCCAGGCCTGGAGCTGAGCTGGCTCAGAGCTCTCTGTCTGTCTGTCCATCTCCACCACACCCAGGGCAGGCGCTTGTGCTGGCAGCACCCTGGTAGCATGAGCAGGGAGGAAAGGGGGAGCACTGAGGCAGGGGCTGTGGGGGGAACCCTCCACCCAGACCATGGGGTGGGGAAGAGGACAACCTGCCTTGGCTCCAACCTGCCTCAGCAGAAGACAAATGCCCAGAAAAGGTGGACTGGGAGTAGAACTGGCTGCTCCTGGACATGCAGGAACTGTCCCCACAGCACTCCAAACCCCGGGACAACCCTTCCCCACTCTCCCCCAGCTCTGAGAAGGAGCTTACAGGAAGCCAAAGGGTGCCAGGGTGATCCTGCCCCTGGGGAAGTCCAGGCGCCCGTTGTAGCTGTCCTCCAGCCCCTTCAGCTGCAGCAGGGCCAGGCGCACCTGGGGACAGGGGACAGAGCTGGCACTGGCTCCTGCGAGGAGGGAGGCTGACAGGGTTTGGGGTTCAGGCTCCCTCATTGCCCCAGGGGACAGAGCAGATCAGGTGGGTCTCAGTGCTGCTGCAGAGGCACATGGGGGAAGTGTCACTCTCAGCAAGGTCATGACTCAGCACCCACAGCCAAGGGTGACAAAGCCACCTCCTGTGCACCCCAACTGCAGCATGCGAGGCTCTGGCGAGGAGAAAGTCACGAGTCACCTCTACTCACCCCAGGAAGGAGCATGAACACATCCCTGTCATCCCACCTGGAGCTGGGCCAGGACAGCTCGCTGTCCTGAGCTGTGCCCTGGGCTAAAGGCCCAGGAGGACCCAGGGGGGCTTCCCTGGTGGGGGCTCCCCATCCTCACCTGGTGCCAGTACTCGGTGTCCTGCCCTTTCTCCATCTGCTCCTCCATCCAGGCCAGGTTGGCCTCCAGGTAGCTGCGCAGCTTCTGGCAGTACTCGCTCTCGTACTTGAAGGGGCCGCAGTAGCCCACCATGGTGTTCATCCAGTGCATGTACATCAGCTGGGGACAGGGCAGGCTGTCACCGCCGAGGACACCCCGGGAGGCACCAGGACACGCGTTCCTGGACGGGTCCCCCTTACCTGCTCGGTGACGGCAGCCTCGGCGAGCCCGGCGGCGTAGGCCTGCAGGCTGTCATTGTACGAGGCGTTGGTGGCCACCTCCAGGAAGGCCCAGCTGTGGGGACACGGCCGCGGGGGTTACGGGCATGGCTGGGACGGGGCACCCCACCCACCACGGCTCCCCCGCGGCCACCCCATCCCCGCTCAACCCTGTCCCGTCCGGTCCGGCTCGGGTCATACCCGACGTGCGGGATGCGGTCATCGAGGCTGGCCCAGGCGACAGCGGCGGGGTGGCGGCCGGGGAGGACGCGCAGCCGCTCGGAGCCGGGCTCCAGCAGCACGGAGACATTGCGGGGCACCGGGGACGGGGCTGCGCCGGCCGGGACGGCGGAGAGCAGCGGGGAGAGGAGCGGGGACAGCAGCGGGGAAAGCAGCGGGGAAAGCAGCGGGGACAGCAGCGGGGACAGCAGCGAAGCCAAAAGCAGCGCCCGCGGGGCCGCCATGGCGGGGACACCGAGGGGCGGGGCTAGGGGGGACCACGCCCCATCAACACCGGGGCGTGTGAATGGGCGGGGATGGGCGGGGCTTCGTTGTGACCACGCCCCGCTACGCTCTGTTGTATTAGCGGGGCGGGGCTGGATTGGGGCGGAGCTTCAGTGTGGCCACGCCCTCATAGGAGTATCAACTGGATGGCCCGATTTGGGGGCGGGGCGTTGCATTGGCCACGCCCCACAGCTCAGCTCTGTATAAACATCTCACAGGGCCGGGCCTGGGGCGGAGCTTCTGGCGTGGCCGCGCCCCCAGCCACTCCGAGGCGTGGGGACCCCTGTGACTGTCCCACAACGCCCCTGTCCCCCCATGCCGCCCACGGCCCCACACTCATACCGACGGTCCCAGCCCCACACTCACACCCCCGCTCCCATCCCGCCTGTCCCAGCCCCACACTCTCAGGAGATGCGCGCAGGTTCCTCTCCCCGCCTTCGGGGGACACGCGTGGACCCCTCGTGTGAGCTGTCCCAGCCCGGCGTGTCCCCATGCTCGGGGCAGGGGGAACACACGGGGCGCTGCTGCTTCCCTCGGGCCCCAGGGCCGCGGCAGCCCCGGCCTTGCGCAATTCCCTCCACCTCTCTCCGGGGGAAGGGCAGAACGCTGCTTGGGGGCAACGGGCCAGGGTGGGAAATGGACCTTGAGTCCCATGGGTTCTTTGAGTCCCGTGGGTTCTTTGAATCCCATGGGTTCTTTAAATTCCACGGGTTCTTTGAATCCCATGGATTCTTTGAATCCCATGAGGGTCTTGTGGCTCCGGCCGTGACGGCCAACCGGCACCCCACAAACGCAGCACACGGGGGACAGCTGAGGCTGGGGTGTCCTGGAGCTGGGACACCGGTGCGGAGAGGGCCGGTGCCCTGTGTGGGGTGTGGGACCGCCAGCCCTGTGTCTGTGCAGCCCGGTGCCGAGCTGTCCCACACGGGACACATGCCGCGCTGGGCCCGCCCGTTCTCAGGGCTCACCGTGTGGGGCTGTGTGTGGATGGATGGCTGCCCGGCCTCGGAGGGCCGGCCCGGAGCACAGCGCCGCGTGTGTCCCCTGTGGGAGCCGGCCGTGTGGCAGAGTGTCGCTGTCGCTTTAAGAGCGGAGGGTGGCGGCCCGTTTAAGGCGGGGGGGCCGGCGGGGATCAGCTGCCCGCGCTCGGAGCGGGGCCGAGCCGACACGGTGGGGCCGCGCCGCGGGTGGGGTTCCCCGGTACCCCCATCCATCCATCCCCGCATCCCCGCCCGGGATCCCCCACACCCCCGGGGTCACCGTCCCCACCCGCCCCACTGCCTCTCTGTCCCCTCCCTGCCCTCGGGGGTGCCCCCGGTCCCTCTCCGCGGGTTGTTGGTGCCATTCCCCCGGGCTGAGCCTCCCCAGCGCAACCTGCCCGCGGGAAGCTCTGTTTTTTATCCTTTTTATTATTTTTAGCTTTAATTATAATTTCCAGTTTTACTATTCATTTTTACCCCCTCCTGGCCCCGCCCGGGGAGCGCGGGATGGGGCTCGGGGGGCAGCCCCCGCTCGGTGTCCCCGGGGAGCGCTGCCCGTGGTAGGTGTCCCCGGGGCTGTCCCCGCCAGGGACAGGGCACCATGGGGCAGGGACCCGCGGGGCTGCCCGCGGCGCTCAGCCTGCCCGGGGCGCTGCCAGCCCGGCCTCCGCTGCTGCTGGACGCGGGGCGCACGGTCCCTCCCGCCGGGGATGCTCTGAGCCACGCACGGAGCCTGGATGTAAGTCTGGGGATTTGGGGGGTGCACCGGGAGGGATTTGGGTGCTGCCGGGGTGGTGGGGTCCCGTCCCGTCCCTGCTGCCATGTCCTCACTATCGCAGCAGGGATCTCACCCGGATTTCCTCCGCTGCTGGTTTTCTCCTCCGAAAACCTCTCTGCTGCCAGGCCGGCGCCTTCCCATGGCCCGGGGTGGGTGTGGGCTGTGTGGGGACATGGATGGGGTGGGGACAAGGGTTTGCACCTCTGCTGGCCCTAGCACAGCCCTGCACCCACGCACGTGTAGCACAGGTGGGGAAACTGAGGCAGGGCTGACAGTGACCTGGCAAAGCGGCCCCATGGCAGTGCTTGGGGGGCAGTGTCCTCTCGGGGTGGGCAGTGTCCCCTCGGGGAGGGCAGTGTCCCCTCGGGGGGGTCCGGCCGAGCACCCTCCGCTGTGCTCCGCAGTGCTGGGAGGTTCGGGAGCACAACAGCTCCGAGTGGTGCCACTTCATCCGGAGCAACCCCGACTGCCGGCTCGACGGGGGCTTCCTCGACTACCTCGATGGGGTTTTTTGTGTCTTCCCGCCCCGGCTGCTGCCCCTGGCTGTCACCCTCTATGTAAGGACGGGAAAGGACGGTGGTGGGGATGCTGTGCTAGGGGGGTGTGTGGTGGGGACTGCACTGACCCCTCTCTGTGCCACTCCTGACCCCACAGGCTCTCTGGCTCCTGTACCTGTTCATCATCCTCGGTGTGACAGCTGAGAAGTTGTGAGTGGCCCTGCAGAGGAGGGGACTGTCCCCAGAGTGAGCAGGAGCCCCAAGTAACCCCATCACCTCTCTGTCTCCTTTTCTGCCCTTCCAGCTTCTGCCCCAATTTGTCAGCCATCTCCACCAACCTGAAGCTGTCCCACAATGTGGCAGTATCCTTGGCAAATCACAGGGCCCTCAGGCAGGAGGGACATGGGGACAGGGCAGGGGAGGTGGCCGTGACAGGGTCACTTTGTGTCCCCTTGGTGCCGTGCCAGGGGAAGCCCATTGGGAGGTTACAGTGGGACGAGTGGTCATGTGCTGGCACTGGACAGAGGTGCACAGACCCATGTCCCCACGGGGAGGAGGGCACCAGGTCTTTTCCTTGACGTCCCCTCTCCATGGTGTCACCTTCCTGGCCTTTGGGAACGGGGCCCCTGATGTCTTCAGTGCTGTGGTGGCTTTCTCTGACCCCCGGACAGCAGGGTTGGCCATCGGGGCCATCTTTGGTAAGGGAGCCCCAGTGCCATGTCCTCACAGGGGATATTTTGGGTTTGTGGGATGTTCCCCTGTCCCAGGAGAGCCCCCCTGTGTTGGCAGGTGCCGGTGTGTTTGTGACCACGGTGGTGGCCGGGGGCATCGCCCTGGTCAAGCCCTTCACGGCCGCCTCCAGGCCCTTCCTCAGGGACATCATCTTCTACATGGTGGCCGTCTTCCTCACCTTCGTGGTGCTCTACCTGGGCAGGATCAGGCTGGGAGAGGCTCTGGGTGAGCGCTGGGGGAGCTGGGCACTGTGGGAGCAGCCTGGGGGTGCCGTGAGCCCCCCATGACTCCCCCATCTCAGGTTACCTGGGGCTCTACGTGTTCTACGTGCTCACCGTGGTGCTCTGCACCTGGATCCACCGGCGGCAGCGCGGGGACGGGCTGGCCCCTCCCGGAGCCTGGGAGCCAGGTAAGGGCTGCCCAGCTGGGATGGGACCCCCGGGGTGCTGGGGTGCCCTTCCAGTGCCCCTGCTCTCTCCTCTTCCTCACAGAGATGCCGACAGATGTGGAAGAGCCGGAGCCCTCGAGCACAAACAGCGGGGACTATGGTATGTTGTTCTCTATGGGCTCAGGGCTGGCTCTGCTCCATCCTCGGGGGTCCCAGAGCGCCCCAGTGACTGAGCCCGTGGGGCAGGGGGAGCTCTCTGGGGACACGCAGGGAGCCCCCAGCCCGCTCAGCCCCGTGGCATCTCATAGGGGAGGAGTACCGGCCCCTGCTGCCCTCCCGGGAGAGCTCCCTGCGCATCCTGGCCTCGGCCCTCAGCCCCCTGGACTACCGCAAGTGGAGGAGGAAGCCCTGGTACTGGCGGCTCTTCAAGGCCTTCAGGGTGAGTGGGGAGCAGGAGGAGCCCCCCAAGGGGCATCCCCATCCCTGCTGGCCCCTGGGGCTCTGTCCCCCCGGGGCTTTGGGACAGGGGCAGTGGGGTTGGGAGCACCTCGCAGGGTGTGCCAGGTGGGTGTCCCTTGTGCCAGGTGCCCGTGGAGCTGGTGCTGCTGCTCACCGTTCCTGTTGTGGACCCCGACAAGGATGACCTGAACTGGAAGAGACCCCTCAACTGCCTGCACATCCTCACCAGCCCCCTGCTCTGCGTCCTCACCCTGAAGTCAGGCGCCTGTAAGAGCCTGGGGCGGTCCCAGCTTGCAAAAGGGACAGGACTGAGAGGCCACCAAAGCCCTGGGGACTGCAGGAGCCCATCAGAGCTGGCTTCCCATTGTGGGGAGGAGGGATGGACAGGGGAGAGCCAGGCTGTGTTTGCAGCTGGATACACCCACAAGCTGGGGGGCTTGAGGGCCTGGGGGGGAAATGGAGCAGGTCTGGCCTGGCCTGGGGAAACTGAGGCACGGAGGGGAGCAGCTCTGTGGGGGCATAGGGCAGAGGTGGCTGTAGCTGACAAAGCTTTACCTCCACCTCAAGCCTCTCTGTCCCTCCTGTCCCCACCATGTGCAGATGGGCTCTACCAGATCCAGGGCATCTTCCCAGTCTGGGCACTGGTCACACTGGTTGCCTCTGCCCTGGCCCTCATCATCTTCATCACCACGAGCAACGAGGAGCCACCCAAGTACCACTGTGTAAGGTGTTCCCCAGCCCTGGGCACCCACCAGGGACCAGCACAGCCTGCTCCAGAATGGGGCAGAGCAGGAAGCTGGAGCTCTCTCCCAGTTCCCAGTGCCCCAGGAGGTGTGCAGGGTCCTGTGGGATGCACACAGGCACCAGCTTGCTCCTTTTCTCGTCAGGTGTTTGCCTTCCTTGGGTTTTTGGCCAGTGCCATGTGGATCAACGCCGCGGCCACGGAGCTGGTGAACATCCTGCGCACCCTGGGCATCATCTTCCAGCTCAGCAACACCGTGCTGGGCCTCACACTGCTGGCCTGGGGCAACAGCATCGGGGGTGAGGGCTCTGCTGCTGCCAGTGCCCCCCTGGCACACGCTGGGGTGCCCCTGCCATGCCCAAGGTCTCCCTTTGTCCCTCCACAGACACCTTC